CTCCGGGAGGCGGCCCAGGGCTCCGAGCGGCCGCGGTGAGCTGCCTCTTCTCCCCGCAGGCGTCCGGCAATAAGGTGAGCCGACAATCCGTGCTGTGCGGCAGCCAGAACATCGTTCTCAACGGCAAGGTAGGCGGCAGGGAGGGGGCTGCCGTGTCCCGCCGTCCCGCTACATCGCTCGTGCCAGCAGCTCGGCTGGGTCGGAGGGGAGCGCGGCCAAGCCGCGGGTCGCTGTCACCACTGCAGCGGCACCTGCGCTGCTCTTGTCTCCACGGACAGCCGCTATCAGCCCCGTGGTGCTGGAGCTCTGCTCTCTGAGAACGCAGAGCTTCGGGGCATGTGGACAGATCGTGATGCTTTCATCCATGGAACAATGTGTTTTTCTTTGTGCTTAAGCCTCGCTTTGTGTATTCGCTTGCTTTGGGCAGTTCAGTGACATGACAGAGAACAGCTGGTGGTTCCAGGCTCCTGTGTTGTTTGCTTTGTTCTTTCTTTTGACTAAAAGAATCCTCTGTAAGGTAACGTAGTCTCACTGGTGTGGCCCGACCTCTGCGTGAGTCTGTATGATAACTGGTAATACTGGTAGAAAGTGGAGCTCATTTATCTAGCTCTCTTTTCTTCTCCAGACAATAGTTATGAACGACTGCATCATCCGTGGTGACCTGGCAAACGTACGTGTTGGACGACACTGCGTGGTGAAAAGCCGCAGTGTCATTAGACCGCCCTTCAAGAAGTTTAGTAAAGGGTAAGAGGACCGTTCTTTTAGGGAGGCTGAAGTTGAAATCTATATACCTAAAAAATATATTATCTTGGCTGAGATCTGTATTCAGAGAGCTGTGTTCCTTTTGCAGTAATTTGCAGATATATGTCCCTTTAAACCTGCCTTTTCTCAAATTTTCAGCTTTGCCTTGAGGGTTGGCTTTCCCTTCGGACCATAATATGGAAAGGCTGGGATATAGTAAAATAACTAAGTGAAGAACGTGTTTCACTTGTTCCTTTTTTATTCATAATGTCTTTTGGTTGCTCATTTGGGCCATCCTTTAGAAAGAAATAAGAAAAGACCAGTGACTGTTTCAATTTTCCTTAGCATCAGATGTACCTCTGGTAATCCAGCTGGGGACGGGAGACTCCACAGTGTGATTCTGGGGCTGACAGTGTCACGGATCAGTCTGTATATTGTACACCTGAATAAATATCTCTCACAGGGTGGCTTTTTTCCCTCTCCACATTGGTGATCACGTCTTCATAGAAGAGGACTGTGTTGTCAACGCAGCCCAGATTGGCTCCTATGTCCACATAGGCAAGAACTGTGTCATTGTGAGTGCCGTTTCTCAGTCTTTTCTTTAAATTCTTGAGTACTGTTGAGGCTTTCTAACAGCAGTGGCGAGGTAGCCACACCAACTGGCTGGAGTGAGCATACTTACTCTGTGCTGTTCCTTTCTCCTCCTCTTCCCTCTCCATAGAAAGTGGTGCTTTCAGTTTTGCTTTTCAGAGGATAGCGGGTTCAGCTGACCGCTATTTGAAAACCCATCCCAACAATATTGTCCCGGTGACTAATAGGACTCTCTGGGGATGGCAGCCCTTCCACAAAGGACAAGTGGAATTGTGTTTCTACACAAATAACATGAAACAGTCAAGGTTGCTGTCTACTGAGTTAGAGAAGGCTTTGCTATGTTACTGCATGACTCAGGTTTTAGGCTCCAGTTTGCACATTGACATGTTAATATGCAGCTGCCTGTACATGTGTTAGTCGAGAGCAAATGGATATTTTTCCTCAAAAAAGAAAAAATGTTCTGTTGGGAAGAGCATTCAGTCAGAGCAAAAATTTATTCTTCCGATCTATTCTACAGAATGTGTTTTGAGCAGTTAAACTTGTTGAAGTTTAGGTAACTTACGAGTAATAAGCAAAAGCATCTAAATCTTTATTTTAAGTATAAACTTCACCTAATCTCTGTTTTAGGGTCGTAGATGTGTTTTGAAAGACTGCTGCAAAATCTTAGACAACACAGTACTACCTCCTGAAACAGTAGTCCCACCTTTCACAGTCTTCTCTGGCTGCCCAGGTATGCTCCCTCTAACTTTACTTGCACAGAAGCGTGGTTAACATGGATATTCTTACCTTAAAATGAGATTGCTCTGACAAAGTTGCCTATTAGCATTTAGTGCTTAGAATAAAAGTGTAGGGCACTTGGTGAACTGAAAAGTAACAATTTTAACTTCTGAAACTCATTGCTGTAGTGTATATTAGGTAGGTGGTATGCATTTACTCAGAACAGTTTCACTAGAATGCCAGCTGTGGCCATCTTGTAGACAGCTTTTCAGACCCCAGCAGGCATTAAGCTCTGGCAGAGGGAGCACTCCTGTAGTTTCTGGTTTTGCAGTATTTAGTGGTTCCAACTGTAGGAAGTCCATTTGCTCATTATTCATATGTTAATAGGAAGGTAGGTACATTAAACTGAGGTGTATGAATGTTTAGTTCCTGCCCATCGACCTGGCTGTGCCGGAAATCTCATTGTACAAATTGCACACTCGTTCTGATAGTGTTTTACGGGGAGCAGCAGAAGCTGTTACAGGACCCCGCTGCAGCAGTCCGTCTGACATCTGTCCCAGGGTACGATGGGAAGGATCCTACTGTATTGCTGGACGTGAGAGAAGAGCCCTTTGCTGCTCTGTTAGTATTTACTTACAATTCGGTCAAAGTCACGGCTTTGAATGTTGAATATAAACTTATTTCTGCCTTTCCCTGCAAGACTGCTGATGCTTATACTCTTGTTCTTCTTCCAGGACTCTTCTCCGGGGAACTCCCGGAATGTACGCAGGAACTCATGATTGACGTTACAAAGAGCTATTACCAGAAGTTCTTGCCACTCACTCAGGTCTAGTAGCCTATTTACCGTGTTTCAGAGCAGTAAAGGCGTGCAGAAGTATGCTGGGAGCAGGGAGAGGGATGTTGTTCAGTGAGATCAGGGCACGGCCCTCTGCTGTTCCTGAGCACTTCTGAGTGTTCCTCAACACTAGTGGTCTGGCCAAGCAAGTCCCTTGTGAAAGCTGCTGTGTCATGTTGTTTAAACTTTGTGTGCTCATTTGAATGTAATTCATTCCATGTTGTCTGAATTGTGCCATTAAATGTCCTGGAGCTAGGAAAACTGATACAATTCCCTTTAGGGCAGCATCTCCTCATTGCAGCTGGGGAGCAATGCAGAGTTGGTAGCATATACACTGCAGCCTAAGCCTGTCTTTCACGTCAGTTCTGTTCCTAACCCAAAGCAAGTGGGCTTACATTTGCTAGAAGCAATCTCCATCCTAGAACAGAAGTGCTGTGTGGCTGATGTGTGTGTTATGGGCGGGTTCATTAGACCCTGTGCTTTCCTTCAGAAAAATATTTGCTGCTCTATAGGCCTGCATGTTGAGGTGGATGGCCTCTTCCTTGCCTCCCCTCTCCTATAGGGTCAGTATATCGTTCATCGTACTGGGATTGGCTTTAGGACTTTTGGCTGACACTGAAACGTTTCTATGCCTTGCCTGACAGGACACTTAGATTTTTAACTCTTGAAGTAGATGTCAGTCCTGCGCTCTCGCCCATCAGGCAGGGTTAGGATTCTCACGGCTGATGCGTGTTCTACTTTCTGAACATTGCAGACCTTAAAGAGCCAAAAGGCTTTGGAAAGAGGTTTACCATGTCACTCAGAATTCAGTGCAGCAGAAAGTGGGTAATTAAAAGCAGAAACCAGAGGTGGGTGAGAGAATGCCGCAATTGTCCCCATTTATTACCCAGTATGTATATTTGCAAAAAGCTCTTTGGTGCTTTTCTGCATTGTAAAACCTAAGAAGGAGATTCAGACTTCTTGGAAAGAGCGAACATTTCATTTTGAACATGTAATAGAGCAGGAATAATTCTTACTGGGAGCAGCTCTGTGAAAGTTGGAGACAGCTGAGACTTGTGTGTACCTGACTCAGTACTAAGACAACTGGCTAAAAATGAATCTGCCTGCTCTGGTTGTATTATATCAAAGCTTAGCATTGTCCTTCTCTAGCTTTGAAAATTGGGGCTCCTGCATGTTGTAGCAGCTGGGGGCCAGGACACATATTAGCTAGATTAGGTGTATGGCTGTGAGATCAGCAGCCCTGGAGCCTTCAGCTGTTGTGTAAAATGCAAAGTACTGATACACCTTAAATAGCAAGCAGCTGTACAAGTACTAAAGTGTTTAGTAACTACTGTTAATCAAATGTAAAACCACTGACTGGTTTGGTTGTATTTTTACTGTATGTAAATTAAAGCCTCTTCAGTTGATAAAGTGACTCAAGGTTGTGACTCTTCAAATAAAACTTGAGATTAGAGTGAGGTTTCTGCCATGCTTGGGCACATAGTATCTTCTTCTGTGACTATTACAGGCCATTACTGACTATTACAGTGTCAGTGTGTTAAAAAGTGAAGTACAGTGTGAAACTGCTGCTTCTTTCTGCCTCTGAGCTGATGACTTTCACCCACAAATGATTCCAGTGTTGTTGTTTTATAATGGCTCTGACACAGAACATCTTTGCTTCTATTCTTTGTGCTGAAGCAAGAACCCTAAAGCCACCAGGGTGATTGCAAAAGCCCCAGTTCAGCACTGAAACGTTAGGCATGGCTATTTGGTACAGCAGTAGCTCTGGTAGTCTTGCTTCAAGCACTTGGAAGTTGCCCACTTTTTGGATCTAGCCATCCCAGATGGCATTACTCCTTTTGTGTCTGTACAAAAAAGCAGGAACTGGAGCCAGCTTCTCATGGCAGGGAGCGCAGCTGGGAGGTTCTCTGTTGAAGCTGCAACAACCAGGCTGGCACTGCTGAGCTCTCTGATGCAGCGGGTCAGTTAGGTCTGGTTTCAACAGAGGTGAAGTGTTTTACCAGAAGCCCAGATTCTGCGGGACTGCTGTACCACCTAGTCCCGTACTGACTCGAAATGCCGGTTCAGTGACGGCTGTGTTCCTCACGTCCTGCTGATCCAGGAGGGAAGACAGCGCAGAAGGAAGATTCCTGTGATTTCTGGGTTCAGGGGGGTGTCCTTGTGAGAGGCCCAGGCTTGCCAGTTTTTCTACCTATATGAAAAAGTATTAAGTGTTCCTTGCATTTGTCCTACAGGCAGCTTCTTAATTGATTTCGGCTTCCAAAAATGCTTAGTTTCTGCTGTCCAGGATCTGTCTAGCCCTTGCAGAAGCCATTTGCAGTGAGGGGCTATAAGAGGCCTCTTCCATCACAAGACCTGACAAGTTTGGGGATTCTCACAAGATTTCCTGCAAGTCAGATGTTTAGGTGTTTATGCTGCCGCTGGCGAGTGCTGCTTCGCCCTGTTAACTGGCCACCAGCGGCTTCTTAGAGCGTGTGAAGCTGCGCTGTGCTGGGACGGGAGGGGGCTGCGTGTGCTGTGTTGCCATGGTGTCACTTCAAAGTTTCAACAGCACATAGTATGTTTCACCGGGATCGCTTGATTAATGGCCGTGGTTGGGCAGCGTGAAGCCAGGCTGCTGCCGTGGGATTGGGTGGGAAGCGGCGGCTGCCAAATTAAGGGCTGTGAGTTTGAGAGTGGGGACGGGATGGCCACTGGAAATGTCTGAGCGATGCCTGTGCGCGATCACTGGAGCAGCACGGCTGTAGTTCACAGAGGGATACGTCACTGCACAGTTACGTGTTTCTTGGCCTACTCTTCCGTCTAGCGGGCTGAGCTGACCCTTCTGCCTTAATTAAAACCTCTTTTGTTGTCTCTGTTAAGGTGGCCTCTGCCAGGGTCTAAAACCAAGTCACCACTGAAGATCTCAAACAATCAGCACTGTTAACATTCCTTAGATTTGGCCACTTTATCCTCCTGTCCTCTGGAGCATCCCTCTGACCTGGGCTGACCTCTACGCCTCTGCCAGCTCTCAGGAAGGATGGAGTGTCAGTGGGTTGCAGCGTTCTACTACAGCCCTGGGGAGTTACACGTTTCCGATGGCGACCTGCAGTCTAGCACAGTGCAATAAAACTTGACATCCAAGGGAGGGCTTTGCTGCGTAGCCAGAGGGGCTGTTGGTGCATGGGGAAGCATGCTCCTCAAGGAGGGAAATTCCTTCTTTCAGGAGTCTTGTACAAACAGTGATCACTTCAAACACTAAGTCGCTGTATTGCTTCATTGATCCTATATGCTTTACTCCAGTTTGCTCTGTCCGAGACTGGCGGGCCGAGCTGCTCTTGTTGCAGCGTGTTCTGAGTCCCCAGGAGCAGCCCGCAGGGGCTGCAGAACCCGTCTCCCTTTCACTCGGTGGCCACAGTTGGCTGTGGGAGGCACTGGTGCTGATGGCTCTGTAGAGCTGCAGCTGCTCAGTGTAAGGAATGGTGAAGAGCTGCTGCCTGTGAGGGGCTGGGGGAAGGTAACGAAGTCAGCCATTGAGCGGAGGCCATGTCCGCTTTGTGTGGGGCAGAATTTCCTGAGAAGATGCAGCTCTGCCAGGGGAATAACAGTTTAACTGTTGGCTGCCAGCTGCAGCGATCTGCAGGGCTGGCAGCTTGGCCTCATGCCCTGGGCTCTCCAAGCTCCCCTGGAGCCCCCAGTGGCTTGTGTTGGTAGGCAAACGCTAGCTGGGCGTCATCTGCAGCATCCACTGGCCCGCACATTGCAAAAGCGGGGAAGGTGCGGGCCCGGACCATCAACCTGCTAGCCCAGGCTGCCGGCAGCAGCGTTGGATGATGGGGAGGGCAGCGACACGAGGTAAAGTCGCCGTCCTCATCCTGGTTCCAGCATGGTGGGACCACGCATGGCCAGTGGGCTTGTGGTCCGAGGCGCTCTGGCTGCGTTTTGTGCTGTTTTTGGTGGTTTGACATTGGTGCCTCGTTCGGCGCCAGCCAGGTGAGGGGTGAGAGCGGGCAGGGGTGTGAGAGCGGCCGGGAGGGTTGCTGCTCTGCGCCCGTGGCGTGGGAGGGCAGGCGTGGTCCATTGCTGCAGTGGGCAGCGTGTCCGCAGGGCGAGGGAACAAAGTCGTTAACACGGTAAGGGACAGCTGCACCACACGGTCACCCTGTGCGACCGTGACCGAGGGGCACCGGGAGCAGGTGGGGCCCTATGGAACAAAAGCCGGGTCCCGGGGCAGACGTGGCCATCTGGTCCGCGCGCAGGCGTCATGAGCCCGCAGGCACGCGGGCTGTCTAGCTGCAGCTTCTCCCCCAGACAAAACCACGTCGGGCACAAAGTCTCGATGTGGCTTTTCCCCCCGCAGAGCCTCCGCGCCCCGCGGGCG